GCAGGTGCCAGTTCTCGCGAGGCTACTGACAGTTCAGTTTGGAGAGGCAGAGGAATTTTTTTAAATGACATTATAATACGGGAGATTTACGGGAAAATACTAATACGGGAGGACGGCGGGAAAGAGGGGTAAAATACGGTAGTTTCCCGGCCAAAACGGGAGACTTGACAGCTACTGTATGATACTGCCAAAAATTGTTGAATCGGAAATTCAGGGCAGGAGTACGAGGGCTAATAAACCACTTCAATTTTCCATCAGCGATTGGTTTAGCCTGCAAAATCGTGATTTTGGTTCTTCACAAGTTGGCCATGAACAACTAGAGCCAGCTGAAAGATCACAGGAACTCGATGAGCAAGTCGAAACCAATAATGAAAATGACTGGGATCACATAAAGTCATATATTATATAAATATTATTTATCTATTATTATAATATGTAAATAGCAGGAACAGGTGTGGCTCATTAGAAGCCAGGTAGGATAGAAAACCTACTGGACAGTAGCTCTCAAGGACCGGAGTTGGAGTCCCCTCTGATATGTTAGTGTATATTAACTCTGCATGCTCTATCTATTAGTGTATACTAACTCTGCATACTCTATCTATTAGTGTATATTAACTCTGCATACTCTTTAATAGTAAATGATTTGCATGACTGCACTGCGCATCTCTGTCTTGGCAACCAGCCTCACTTTGTAACTGTGGAGTTCCCCACAGTCATTTTTAAACTTTTTACTGTCGTTAACTTTGCATTTTTAATAATGGGTCCAGAACGTAGTGCTCCCAGTGCGTACAGTAGTAACTTTGTACATACAGTGGTGTAATTTAGATGGTTTGTATATAATAAATTAAGAAGTCTTGATAGCAAATGACAAAGTAATTTTACATGCAAAGTGTACAGTACTGTTTGTGTAGAAACTGGTAATAAAAAAAACACAACATTGGTTTAGCATTCAGGCTAGCAGACTGCTGTAGGGTGAGGTTGGGTGTGGGCATTATTTGCAAATCGTCACATTCAGAGGGATGTTCCAGGCCTATCCCTCGTCAATGTGAAGGGGGTACTGTACCTTACGCTGATGGAAAAATTAAGCAAAACTGTAGAGTGCAGTGTACATATAGGCTACTGCTGATTTTTCTTAAGTCTGAACACAGTCTAAATGTCAACAAACTAATAATACAAACTAAATGTCTTCAGACTTGTATTATTTCTAATGTTGGTAAATTACTACTTAAAAGTTTTCTGCACTCCATTGTTTATTTTGTACTGGATACTTATGTGTAGTTTTTGACCACAAATGGTTAGTTGGGGTACTTTTGTGATTGATTCCTTATTATATTTAATTTGGCAACAGATTTAGTTTTGCAAATGATATCATGCCTTCTCTCATCAAAATAACAGGGTTTTATCATATTGTGGAGACATTTGGTCCCTACAATGTAATATATACATGACCATGAACACACACACACACACACACAGTCACAATACGAGCTACTGCCATCATTTCAAATGAAATTAAAGTGAAGTATAACCAAGCCACGACAGATATGCAATATACCAAAAGGTTTTAGCCCATTGTTAAAATTAAAATTTAATCCCTTAGTGTGAAATGTGTGAATCACAGATTGTCTCCTGAAATGGCTTTAGAAGAACAGAAGACATTCCGGAAAGTCACGAAGGAGGTGACACAGCTCCGGGCCAAACATCTAGAGTGTGTTTCCAACACACCAGGCACCTGAAGGAAAACTGCGAATGAACAGACAGTGCTTTACAAACTGCTTTTAAACGTTTGATTCTTAATAAATCAGGAAAATGTCTCCGTTTATCTGAACTGACCAATTAAACTTATTTAACAGAAAATGGAATGTGAAAGCTGCTATGAATTGCGTAGTTTAAACACACACATATTTTTGTTGATTTTATAAATGGTACCCCCAAGCAGGAGAGAAAGAAAATATTACACATGTGTTTTTAGTTAAAACAATATTTCCAACAATGGAAACAGCACAGGAGAAAGTCCTAATTCTCAAATGCTTTCACAGCCTAATCCTAACTTTAAAAATAATTTTTTTTATAAATAAATAACGACACAAAGAAATCGTCACCTATTCGCTATTTGACATCTTTTGTTATCTTTGCTTATCGAAACATTCTCACTATAAAATCGAAGGGCTCATTCTGGCTTCAGCGCCCCCCCCCCCCCCCATTCTCCTCATCATAATTATAACTTTTGTAAAGGCATAGGGCAGAATGAAAATGCCGTTAATTAAAAGACAAATGACAAATACTGCAGGCACCTTGCACCAGTGGGTTACCTAGCAACCATTCTGCAGTCACCAGCTCCCACTGTTTCTAGGATACCGAGCGCATGCCAGGCATCACCCGCTCAGGCCTGGCTCTGTACCACACTGACCGGGGATGACAATATGACAGGACAGTGCCCCCAGTGGATAACATTAAAGCATGCAGGCAGTTTATTAGCTAACCCTGAAAATCAAACAAAATTAGCAGCTGTTCCTACCAATAATAAAAAAAAAACATTAAGGCACTCAAATCAAATCACAAAAAGCAAACAGGAATATTAAAAATGTTGCTGACAAATGTCCTTCTGAGCAGTGTCACTGCTACCAGGCGATCTGACTCAAAGATTACCAAAATGGACAGAATAAAAAAAACAGGTAAGGTAATATTTATGCACAAAATATATAATTGAAATATAATTCAACTCCACAGTGAATTCGGTTTTAAAATAGAAATTGCTTAAAATAATAGAATATTTACTGATATCCATCAGAGCCCATATCAGTCGTGATGCACTGACACTGTAGCCTCCACGGCCTCGTATTACGCCAGTGTATAGAAAGGAGACGGATATCAAAAACCCTTTGTCATCCGTCAGACAGAATGAAAGAACAATGCAAAATGCTTGTTTGACCTTCACAGCAACCAGGAAATCCAGCAGAAAATGTCCTATTCCTCATGACCACTGGGGAACAATTAAGATAAAAAGCATATAAACTGCAAGAGCGATAAAGTGCCAGGTGCCGTGTCCCTGAGCAAAGTGAGAAGGACGGTTCATAGAGCAGAGGAAGATGCCAAGGTCACTGCTGGAGCATTACAAAGGACCGGCAACCTCATTCATCAAACTTTGCATAAATTTCATCGTTTAAAAAAAAAAAAAAACTATATGCACAAAAATATTCAGGGTGTTTCGCAATATGCCTACTTGACCATACTTGTGTTTCTTGCATAACTGTTTAAAGTTCTTACATCGCTGAAGACCAGTTCCTACACAAAGAACAGAAGTACAGAGGATGGTAAAAATCCCAGGTGTTGTTCTTGCCCCAGTCCAAATATCAAGGATGCAAGTTATTGTACCTATACACATTTTAAGTTTTGTTCGATAAATGTGCGATTTTGCAGGCACAAACGCCCATTCCAGTTGACTTTTTGTGCAAATCAGCCGCCAGGTCTCCAGGATTGCAGTCAGGTCACTCTAATGATCTAAAGTTTCCATGGAGAAAGTTGCCACGTCTTTATGAAAGGCCACCCACAGCTCCCCAGGAAGCCCCCCAAAGGCCATTAACACGTGACCAGAAATCAGGTGCTACATGCAGATAACATGTGAAATGCAATCAGGTGTTATATAATACATATGTACAGCATATAAATATGGGGGACTTTAGCCATTCAAACTGGTGGTAATTTGATGCTGAAAGCATAAGAAAGGAATATCATACCCAGGGCAAAATGTGGATATTAATGTCATTGGGCTGTTTCACCTTCACTGTCCCTGAGGGCCTTATTAGGGTTAATACCACCTTATTAGGGTTAATACCACCTTATTAGGGCTAACACCAACTATTACAGAATTTGTGCTGAAAAACTGTTTTTTGCCTTTAAGAGAAACTTCCAGGTAAATAACTGCAAGCTTGTTATATAAAGCAGTGTTTCCCAACCCAGTCCTCGAGGAACCCTGGACAGTCCACGTTTTTGCTCCCTCCCAGCTCGCAGCCAATCAGGAACACTGTATACCTGGTACAGGTGTGCTGGGAGCTGAGAGGAAGCAAAAATGTGGACTGTCTGGGGTTCCCCCGAGGACTGGGTTGGGAAACACTGATATAAAGGGTAACGTTTAATATTTTGTGACGCCCCTCCCACTTTTTAGTGCTGGTCCGGAAGGAGACGGAGCCTTTAAGTGAGGAACAGCACACCATCTTTTTCCAGTGTCATGATACACTGAGGCTCCTGTCTTGCTAACTACAGCAGGCAGTTCCTTGGAAATTAATGGATAATTTCAGAGAGCTTGTGCAGTGGTGCAGTGACCAGCACTGTCCCCTCACACCTCCAGTGTCAGGGCTTGGATCGCACCCCGGTTCCTTGCATGTTCGTCACATGGGTTTCCTCTCGCGGTCCACAGACATGCAGTTAGGCTGCAGTTTGTCCATAGTGTGTCCCAGGATATACCACCACCCCATGTGCCACAGGTCCAGCCCCCCCCCCCCCCAAATACCTACACTTCCTGGAGGGCAGGCAGGTCTTTTATTTATTCTATACTCCTCTTCAAGGTAAATTTACAGTTTGTTAGATTTGTTCATCAATAGTCAAGAACCTGTTTTGGAGGCATCTGCCTTTTTAAAGTAGAATTCACCCAACGGACGGAGGCTCACATTGAAGCTACCAGCGGCTCATGGCCATCCGCGAATCCTTGGACGAATAACGACGGGGCGAGGAGATCGGGACACGCGGCTGCAATTAGCCGATGGCAAAAATAACCCGGAATGATGGACAAAAGGAAAAAATGCATTAAAATAACACAATTTAACAAATGCAATGGCAGAGGGCAGGGTGTGAATGGCCTCCCCGGGAAGGTCCTGATCAGCTGATTTTTGGATATGCATAGTGGCCCAAAATATACAGTGCTTGTTACAAAAAGAAAAAAAAAGTCGTAAACAATCATAAAAGCACAATAAAGCAGCAGGGGGTGCAGTGTCGCCTCACACCTCTAGGGTTGGGGGGTTGATTCCTGCTTCTCTCCTGTGGGGGAGTGGAATTTGGCTGCTTCCCCATCACACAATTTTCCTCCCACAGTCCAAACACACAAAGACAGGATACCTGGCATCTCTCAGTCGCCCTGAAGCTGACAGAGAGAGAATTTCTATCACTACTTCAAAGGAAGCATCTTTCCCAGTTACCTACATCCGTGAGGAGAGTTAAGCTTTCTGCAAGGCAATTTCAACCTCTACATGAAAAGCGAGACGAGGGGTGGGGCCTGGATATCACAATACAAGACGTGTACATCGCTAATCTGACAGGTCACAGAACAAAAGGTATTCGGAAATAGTACAGAAATAAATCCTTCCGTCATATAGATGGTTAGAGTAAATATATGTTTTAAGATTTTAAAGACATTAAGCAAAGCTTGCAAATAATCATTCTATAAATTCTGAAGTGGCTGATAGGTTTTTGGATGCAGTTTTAATATTAATGAGCATTTCATAAAAAAAAAAATGTAAGACTTGGCTTTAAATCTTTGAAGCTGTTGGTCGTGATGCAAGAAAAATCATTAGGAAAAATGATGCATACTATAGAAAAGTAACTTTCCATATATTATCCATAACAACGTATCCAAAGCAGGCCTGCAGTGGGACTGGAGGATACTGTAGGATGAGTAAGCCAGGGGACACCCTGGCTTACTGGCACAGGCAATTTAGACAAGCGCGCACAGGCACACATGTGCAAGGACACATGCGCACAGGCAACTTAGACACACCAGTACACTTCAGCTGGACCTCTGTGGGTATGGGAGAGGAAGTCCAGAGAGAGAGAGAACATGGAAACACTTGGAAGGTGTAAGACCACAACGCTATTCACTTCATAAATATTCATGCACGATATGCTTCAATCCTTGAAGCTAGCTAACGTTATGTTGCTAGCTTGTTCGCAAATTAACGGCACCGACATAAAATAAATCAGACTGGCTAAGCTCAAGATACGGTTCACAAACCGCCTGTTTACCTGAATCAGGTGCTAAGCAAATCCAGTGTGCCTCCTCCACTACAAACTCCAGTATACTGAGTAGATCTACAATTTACAGAATATTCCGGCCGTCATGTTCATATGCCCCCCCCCCCTTGAGGGACATAGGACACCATAATCTGTGGCATACAGCAGTTATCTACAAAGACACATGCCAGTGTGGCCCCTTCAGGGTGAGGTAACAAACCCCCCCCCCCCCCCCACCCATCCAGAGATCCCTCTGCTCTCGATAGACAATGTCATTCAAAACTATCTCCAGTTTTGCTTGAGACATGATGAGGACAAAAACGGTTCAATTTTCCGGCAGTTCATATTTTCTACTGTAAGGTTTCACTGCTTCCAAAGTTGTCTATGATATGTAAAATATAGTGATTATCAAAACAAAATAATTTGTTTTATTTTGCAATTATGTTCCAGTTTTATTCTGTTTTATAAATCCAGCACATTCCTTTTTATTAGTTTCTCAGCTGAATTATATTTAAAGTTCAAGGAAATCCACTGTTAACAAGACAGTTTTTTAAAGTTCAATAAATGCATGATATTTCCAAAGTCAGTGAGTAATCGTATTTAATAATCATGATCGCAGTATTGACCAAAATAATTGTGATTGTGATTTTTGCCAGAACTGAGCAGCCCTACAAAGGGTATAGATAAGATAAGATGATAATAGGAAAAAATAGCAAGAATCAGAGCTGGGATCTTTTGTTCTAAGTCCCCAAATCATAATTTGTATAAATACTGGTGCATTTCGGTCATGCTTGAATAAACAAGAAACTTGAGAATTACTAAATGCCAAAAAAATGCTAACTAGGATTACAGAGCTCATCAAAAGCAGATTGCATTAGTACAGCAGTTTGTCTTTGGTTCGCCCACGGCGAGATTAAAAAATGAGTCTCTCACACCAGCGACAGCAATCCTAACCCTAACCCGATGCCCAGAGGGCCCAGGCTTCAAGGACCAACACAGCGTCTAACTTCTGACATCAAATCTCTCACAGTGAGTGCTCATTACATCAAGGATGAGGGTGCAAGGCAAGTCAATACTGAGATAGATATGAAAGACACAACAGAATATTAAATCATTACAGAATAGTTAGACTGAATAAAAAACTGATATGTATTGCAGGAACCCTAATGTCAATTAAAATCTCAATTCTGAAAAGGTTATCTTTAAACACACTATGTTATTTGGGCATTCATGTAAATCTGTGGTATAAGCATAAAGCTACTATTTGCACTTGTCAGTAGGTAGATGTCACAATCCACTCTAAATTAAGACGCATGGATTAACAGTAATCTGGCTCTGGCTAATTGGTGTCTATAAAATGCGGCTGTCTTCTGATTTATTTGAAAAAGAAGTCACCTGTGACAGGCTCCCTCCATCATTCTCTTTCCAGCTCCTAAACCATTTTCCATGAATACGTAATTAATAGTGACTCCAATTTTTAAGTTTACATGCTGGCTTACATACCCTGCTCCTCTATGTTGTGGTGATAAGTTTTGAAATTTAGCTATAAATTCGCAAAATTATGTTCAATACAATAAAAAGGAATTATTAACAGTAGTTGCCTACATAGAAAAACAATTTTAAAAATCGCTGCCTAAGGCTGCCTTCTAACAGCGTGGTCTTAGAAAGAAACAAAAGAGACAAAGGAACAAAGAAGATGTAGTTAAATGCATATTTTCACGGGACCCATCCTTGGCTTAGGCACCAAGGATCTTAATGCATATGTGATTTAGATGGAAAATAACATATGTAGAATATAATGTATGATAAAAGGAGGCCCGCCGGTAGGCTAAACCCCGCAAAGCTTTAAGCAGCTTCAGTGGTACGGCGTTTCCTCCCTCGGCAGCTGCAGTGGCTGTGCAGGAGGCATTTTGGGGATATTTGCCGGCGGTAATATTTTTAACGCAGGAGGCTCATCTGTCGTATGCAGGTAGCATAACCGTGTCTGGGGCTGGGCGACTAAATGCTTTATCTGCGAGCAGCAAAAGGCCGGCAGATCTGATATGATTGGGGAGATCCGACAGCTTCTCCCCGACCTCAAACGTCAGAAGATCCCCGATATCATATGAGCGCTCGCCGGCTGCGCACACTGAGGACCACCACCAAAATAAGAAAAACGCTGTCCTTTGATCTGATCAAGCATCAGACGTGTCATCAAAATGCATTTTCATACGTCCTCCCGCTTTGTGGAAGCATACCCCCGTGCCACACGTTATTGAGGCTGGGAATAAAGACAAGCAAGAATATGCATGACAGGTCGCGGCCACTTCGGTTCGGGAATTAAAGTCTGCATGGGGGTAATGACGATAAAAGGAGGCCCACCGCTAGTCGAATAATAAGCTTCATCACTAAAACGCTAAAACGCGCAACCTTACTGTCTTTTTTTTTACCTGGAACGCCAATTGGATCTTCGTCTTTTTTTCGTCTTCACTCGCTTCCCAGTCGGATCTCCATACGAAACGGTCCTTTAATTAATCCACCACCAAGAAGGGAAAAAAGCATTCCCCTACATAACAATGAGAAGAGAGAAACACACGCACCTTACTGCGGCTGTGGGCCGGTGAAGGCGAAGCCGCATTCCGCTAAGCGAGGCTGGCAGGGGGAGAGGAGGGGGCGGTCTGCTCGCTGGAAGTAAGGACGTCACCGCAAAATGAGGCTTTTTTTCACTCTTAGCATGCGTCGTGCTTGCGCAGACGCCCTAGCAAATGTACATGCCATATAGCATCGAAAATCTAAAAAAAAAAAAGCCAATTTGCAACAATGGGGAAGTTGGAAGTCTCCTGTATTATTTAGAAATGAATGACTGGCTACTAACGGAGAGGGGGGTATAAAATGATGAATGGAGGCGCGATTGTGTCCACACACGCCCCGCGACAAAGGGACGGACGAGGAAGGGTGACTCCCGATTGACGGGCATCGGAGGGCATAGGGCTCGGGGGTTTTTAACACGTAGCCTACCGTGAAGTTTAAATATTAGTAGAGCAAAATCTCGTTGTTGATGATGATAAAGGGAATAATTCATTGAGCAGTGTGATAAAATTATTGCTATATGAATGCCAAGTAGTATGAAATTGCTTACACGCCGAAAAGCCACTCCAGACCGATATTAACCCTAGTTAAAGGGTTCACCAAATAAAAGCGAATTCTTCACTGATAACTGATCACGATATAATGATGGACTGGGTCGTGTTCACTGCTGATAGCTCCCTTGGCAAATCTGAGGCATTAATCACTTATAGATACACTGTTGCATACTGAAGTTAAGTAAAGAAGACATTAAAGAGAAACCGCAGAAATAGAAATGTTAGCTCACACAGTGTATTTGCTAGAAGAGTGTGTAGTATTTATGATACCCAGCAGTGGGGGATGCGGTAATTACAGGAGCGTCATTGGGGAAGGATACGGAGAAGCGTGTTTTTCTTATGGGAGAATAGCACGTTATAAAGGAAACCCTGTGAAAAGTCACGTAGATGATGCGCACAGCAGATTCAAACTCGCCACCACGCACAGCCTCACTTAAGTATTATTATTATTGTTGTTCTTGTTCTTGTTATATCTGAGCCATATGTAAAATTTACACATTACATTACATTACAATTTACAGAGTAAAATCCAGTATGAGTGTACTATAAAATGACTACTATTGCTTTTTCAACGATAATCACAATAGTCTATGAAAAACATAAATCTATCCATTCATCTTCCGTAAGTATTTATCCGATATAGAGTCTTATTTGATGACGGGATTATTGAGGCTAACGTGATACATTTTTGTAAGAGGACACGTACGGTGCTGCCAATGCTTCTCTCCTCAATAAACATTTAGCAGCATGTTGCATTTTCAAGTTTTCTGTTCATAAGTATAGTATTTCAATAAATATTCATTCTTGATGAGTATTTAGAAAAATATCTACTGTTGGATTCTAATTATCTTGTGTGTATATCAGACACTTTTTAGGGACGCTGTCTTGAGAAAATGAATATTATATTTTTTGCGGCTAAGAATTCCTCCTTTCTATGAAATGTTTCTTTGGTCCCTGCACAATAGTATGCTAGTGAGGAGAAGCAGTA